AGCACTTAGTGATAGATGGAGATTAAGCAAAGCAAGTTGGGTCTAAAAGAAAGTGCAAAAGTATGCAAATGACATCAAATGACATCTTCAATTTTGAATACTTTGACCGAGACTCGAGAATCAGTCGAACAGTGGTATCCAGAAGCTCGAGATGCTTTGCAGAGGAATGTCCGTGCTCTGAGGCGCAGGTTGATCAGCGTTGGCAGTGGAAGAAAGCGCCCTACCTGCACCAAATCGGCCCATTCTTCCAGCTGCCAATTTGCTCCAGCAATGGGAATGATGTGTGGGTCAATACATGTCAATACCAAATAACATCAAATAACTCCCACATTTTGTCCATTAACATCCCACTACAGTAATCACATCCCACTACATCCCACTACATCCCACTACATCCCACTAGCACTACATCCAAATTTTAATATCAACAATAACTATAACATTGTATTATCAACCAGTATTTTGTATTATCAGCCAGTATTCTTGGGATGCTCAGCTCTAGGCTTTCCATTCATTCGAATTCCCATGTCCAGCACCGTCCACATTTGTTTGAGCCAAGGGCCTCGTGACCCGACGGCTGCAGGCTGCCCGCCATTCTGATGTCAAATCACCATTGATCTAGTGATGAATTAGTAATCTAGTGATCTAGCGATACTAGATGATATTAGATGATATATGATGATATTAGATGATATATGATGATATTATTAGTGATCAGTGATCATCAGTGATCTAGTTACTCTAGTTATGCAGGAAGACGAGCTGCGACGAGCAGATCCCGTTGAGTTCTTTGAAGGCCAGTGTGTTTTTTTCAGGGAGAGTTTGACCAGCTTTGGATATCTTTGGATGACTTCATGTTCTCCTGGAGAGCCATTGCCAGATTTGCCAGTTACTTCATTTTCTTCAGTCATGGCTGAAGTTTCGACTGCTGGCGCTCCGTTCCCAGTGCTTTGATGCTGATTTCATGCATATTGATATTTCATGCTACGCACACTTTACCACTTGGTGGTGGAAATTCCAAGCTGTCAAGGACTGCCCAGTAAAGCAACCCCCCATGCTGTAGCATGCCATAGCAGGCCATAGCTGTTGCCTTCTCGGCTGGAGACGGCCTTCCGCCTTTATTTCTGCAGGACTTTACAAGAACGTGAGTGGCTACAAAATGGATTTGAAGAAGGGAATCAGAGGTGACAAGGACCCCTGTACGACTCACCGTGCTCACCGTTTGACAGCAATTCAACAGTAGTGCTGAAATTGATAGAATTTGAAGAAAATCAAACTTGTCACTTAATTGAATCCAGAATTCTCACACTCTGCAGGCTGAAGGTATTCACTATTGGTGGGTTGATGTTTGGACTATATATTATATTTATATTGATGTTTATTGTGTTTATTTTCAATGTTTGGACATGTTTGATTATTTGTATAATTTGTATATTTATATATAGGTTGGCTGTATATGTTGGTGAGTTCTGGTCTGGGGGATGACTCGCAAGTACGGTAGTTTGGCTTGCATAGAGAGTGAATATTTGATTACATTACATGTCTTGCGGCAGCAAGAATCTCTGCCCAGTCTAATTATACAAGGAGTGGAGAAAGCTCTTGCAATTGCTGCTTGGATTGCACAGAGTGAGCTGGTCAGACTGAGGAGGTTTGCATTTTGACAATGAAAAGTATCAAAATCACTGGATCCCACATGCAAAAAGGGCCATGGGCTGGGACAAATCTTGTAAGGCTAGGACAGTCTTACACCATCGCGGAGGAGAATAAGGGCTTGACATGGTATCCAAATATAGGTATCCGATGGTATCCGGGCTATCTGGACCACGAACGAACCCAGCTGGCATTAAAGATGAAATCCAACACTTCAGTGGTTCACACCGAATATGTCTACGTGCAGAATATGTGTATAAAGAACACACATGTACAAATGTAACGTATATGTGTATATATGTATATACACCATTATTTATATTAATTAATGATAATTAACACAATGTACATATACTGTAATATAACGATTAACAGTAAATACATATATAATTACATTGGTTTAATCTTTCATATATACGTATAATCTTTGCAGCACGATTCTATCCTGCTCCAAGGGCGGACCCTGGCATCGAAGAGGCACAGCGTATCAAAGCAGAGAAGGACGCTGGATCTCAACATGGCGTGTCTATATCTTCTGTAGAATTTCCATGCGTGGAATGACAATTTTTGTCCGATATGTTTCCTACTTCTGGGGTGTTTCTAGTTTCTGGAAAGTTTATCCGTTTATCCCATGACATCCCCTTGTTGTCATATGGCCTATGAAGGAGCCGCCAGCAGCAACTGCTTGCCGCGCCACATGATGGCTGCAATCAGGCCTGGAAGTGGTGCCAACGTTGGGAGAAATATGTTCATACAGTGAGCTGTTTTTTTTCCGTAATGATAGTGCTTACAGACTTTGGTGGTTGTATCACGTTGTATCAGCCTTTGCCAATGACATGGCAGCCCTGCACGTTTCCGTTTGCAGCAGGCAGATGCTCTTGCCCAGACTTCCAAGTCTCAAAGAAGACGTGGGAGAGCAGGTCGACAAGGAAATCATTTTTGGAGGAAGAACAGCAAAGACGACAGATCCATATGCAGCAAGAAATGCAGTGGTGCATGTAGCAATATTTGGAACCCACAAGCACAACCTTCACGGAAGTCTTAGGAATCTATGGTTTTGCCGTTCTTTTCTCTTGCGGCAAAACATTAGTTAATTCGAATTTCTCTACCAGCGAGGTCGAACGACCCCCGAGAATTGCATGCTTTGCACCAAGACGGTGCAACGAGTCACCAGCAGCTAAATGTCACTGTAGTTGTTGTTGTTTGAATCTGTTCCTGAGAACAAAGACAACCCGGAACACCTCTGAATCAGTTTCTGTAGTTGCGACAGTTCTATCTGATTTCCAGACGGTTCGGCTAAGAGCTTTCTGATCACAAAGCAACCAATGGTGAGAACATGTGAGAACTGTTTGGTTTGCACAATGGGATGTGCAAATATGTTGGGATGGGTGGTACGAAAGCAGCTCTTTTCTAGATTCCAGTCTTCCAGTGATGTAATTAGGGATCCTGTGAGGCTTACAGGACAGGATAGAACGTAATTCCCAAGGATCAGTGGTGAATCAGTCGTTACCAACCATTGAAACGCACTGAAGTGACACAGCTTTAATAGACTGCGAGATGTTTTCAGCTTGCCACGGCCCAGAAAGATGACAGCACTTGACCAGAGGGTGCTGTGATGATCCATGAGCGCAAACAAAAAGGAAAGGTGACAGCGCAGATTGAAGTGAGCCAGACTTTGACGTCAGATGATCATGTATCAATATTATATCAATATTATATCAATATTATATCAATATTATATCACTATTATATCACTATTATATCAATATTATATCAATATTATATCAATATTATATCAATATTATATCAATATTATATCAATATTATATCAATATTATTTCAATAGTATATCAATATTATATCAATATTATTATATCAATAGTATATCAAGATTATATCAATATTATATCAATATTATATCAATATTATATCAATATTATATCAATAATATGTCAATATTATATCAATATTATATCAATATTTTATCAATGTTACATCAATATTATATCAATATTATATCATTATATCAATATTATATCAATATTATATCAATATTATATCAATATCATATCAATATTATATCAATATTATATCAATATTATAGCAATATTATATCAATATTTTATCAATATTTCATCAATATTATGTCAATAGATATATATAGATATATAGATATATGTATATATATATATTATAATTATTTCAAATAAAAATAGATTAAAAAAATGAAATTAAAAAACAAAAAACATATCCAACAAAAAAATAAACAGTAATTTAAAACAATCTAAAAATTAAAAAAAAACATAAAACAACTGAAACATGACACCCAAAAACATGGAAATAAAAGCGGCCCGCCTCATCATTTTCCCTGGGCCTGAATTATTTCAGAAAATTTGAAACAACAGAGGCCCACCACACTAATCAGGATCCAACATTACAAAAGTTGGCCTTTACAAAGCGATCTCTTTGTACAGTTTTTGTGTGAGGAGGCTTGAACAAAATTTTTCCACATCGAATCGACGTGGCCTGCCCATGTCCTGCAAGGACCCTAGTTGCGAACTCGAACAGGCGCAAACCAAAAAAAAAACTCCAAGAATCAGCATCTTTCAGTGTGAAACGGCTTCGCGTTAGGATCTCTTTACATCATGGCGCCCGTCGACGTCGATCACTTGAACAATCATGATGGCTGGCATGCGAGGTAAGTACATGGGACATAATCATGGGACTTGTTTTTCCACATGTGTTGCGACATGTTGCGACATTTTCGAGTCAATGCGTTCGAATTTGTTCGTGACAGCCAATTTCCTAGGAATCAAACAGCAGGTGCTGCTTGGGCAAGAACGGTTTCATGACTGATGCAGCTGCGGTTTTTTAGTTTCAAACCCTGGCGCTTTTGGTTTTGCGGCCTTGAAAACTGTTACGGCACGTCCAGGTTCCACAAAAACAACTTGATTTTGTGACCAGTATTTCTGCATTGCGTGTGTGCCTATCTCATGTGCGGTCGTTCGGGCACATGCAGCGTTGTGTCCCGCAGGAGAGAGATGAACACCCGTCCGAAAGTGCAACGAAATTTAACGGTTTCGTTGATCTACAATAAAATAACGTTTTGCGGCGTTGGATTGCTGTTTTACGAAGATCGGGCTGGTGGACATGAATCGGCTACAACTGTTTCTTCAAATGCGCAAGATATCGCATTCATGAAGGGGGCAGTTGACTCCTTGCGGAGTTTTAATCATTATAACCTCGTATAGAAGTATTGAACACGGCCAGGGTCCCCGACGATGTCCTTCTTTTGGCTCAAGTGTTTCCTTGTCACGGGAGCGGGTGACCAATTTGATTGCGCTTGCTCCATGCGAGGGATTCAATCTCAAGGGATTTTACGAGGCCATTTCCACGATGCGAAACCGGATACCATGCTTCTTTGAAACCATCCAATGTGGTTTCATGATTTTAAGGATATGTTTGCAGCACCACACGGGTTTCATGAAAGCAGATTGGTTCCATTATGTTCCATTGATTTTCATTGCTTCTTTGGAGATGTTTTTGCATACGTATACATGCAGACCTGATTCGTGCATGCGTGCATGTAGACCGATACACACGCAGATATACAATGATATACATATTTTTTTTTCAAAAAATATATATACATACAGTATATATTATGAATATGAATGAATATGATACAATCATTTTGCCCACAAAATCATTTTGACTTGCGCTTTGGATTGGAGGGTTGCACTGCCAATGCCGCCACAGGTTTGTCGCGTGACGTGGTCGAGTTTGTAGAAGATGATGAAGAACATCAAGGTGAAAACATCTACGTTCCAGGCAAGGTGCAGTTTGAGGCATGCCTTTGGCAAATGCCACAAGAAATTGACCGGCCCAGACTGTTTCGGATGTGCAGGACATGTGGCTGGTGATCGGATTGAATATGGTTCAATGCTTTGAGAATTTGGCACCATTTTAGTTTTGTATGCTAGCATCCGATTTCTGCACGGCCTTCCAAAATCTTATGCGAAGCGAATTGGTATATCAGCCTTATGAATTGTTTCTGTCGCTTGGTGCTGGTGAGTTCCATGTCAAACATGTCAGGTGGCTTTAGGATCCGCGCTATCCGAAATGAACACCAATTCAATATTAGCAGTTGCTCGGTCTCAAATGGGGAGCTCAGCCACTCAAACGGAGATAATAATTGGATTCCAGTCCTGCGCTTGGAGCGGGTGAAGCGGAAGACAAAAATAGGCTACGAGAAATAGTGAAACACAACTTGCAGACGGCAGACGCCCTCACTAGAATTATATAAAGGGCAGGTTGCGGGCTCCTGAACTTTCCCGCCTTTGATGCGCCGAGGACTTGCTTTGACAGTGTTTTTTTCTGTTCGGATCTCAGTCGCGGGCCGTTGGCCTCCCACCTAGGAGCAGCAACGAACATTCACTGCCTTGCTATCCATCTTCGCAGTTTGGAAAGGCAGTAGCAAGTTGACTGGCAAAATGTCATTGAATTGAACATATTGAACACCATTCGTCGTTCTTGGGATTTCGTTTGGCTGGCTAGAGGTTGCCGTGGCAATTACCCTTTTAGGGACCTATTTGGCGCACAGAGAGCCTGCAAGAAGTGGGGAGGACATCGGGCTGTTGAAGTTCGAAGGTTTTCAGAGGCACAAGGGTTAATGGTCAAGTTCAAGGGTTAATGGTTAACTTATCTTAACTTCAATATTTTGTGCCTTGATGCCACGTCAGCGCTAGCCATCGGAGGGGCATTTTGCCAGTTCTATCCGTAGCTGCCTGTAGATTAAATACCACGAGCATCCACGAGTGTAAATATGCCTAAATATTACAAATGTGCACGCTATTTGTTTGATATTTTTCCATGTATATGCTCAGTGTACACGTGTCAACAGGCTAGGCGAAGTTTCTTGCGCATGCTTTTGCATGCTTTTGCTAACGAAGTGCGTATGGGTCTGCGGGGTGGAGCTGCCGACGTGGGAGCAACTCTCGAAATTAGTTTGCGTGGCGGCATTCTGTTTTTGCACAAAATTTTCTGACGGTTGGGTATCGATTTTCTGATTTTTCCGCTAATCGGGTAGGGATTCATGTGGATAGTGGAAAGGCAAAATTAAAGTATATATTAAAATGGGATACTGTAGACCGGGGTAGACATAAGGGTTCCGAAAAGAAGCCTCTAAGGCAGGCGACAATGAGATTGTGGAAAGGCAAATTAAAACGTACCGTATAAAAACGAGCAGCTGGACAGGTGACATTGAAAAGGGTTGTTGTAGACAAGGTCTTTGGTGGAGCGACTGACGTGAATGAGAGGAAAGGAGCGAAACAAGCGGGAGGAAACTAGCTTCATGTCGCTGAGGGTCTTCGTAGATAACATACTTGTTGGAGCTGCCGGCACAGAAGAACGAGAGAGCGTACTGGGTGATAAGGATTGTGGAAAGGCAAAATGAAGCGGGTGCTTGTAGATCAGGCCTTTGTTGGAGCTGCCGACATGGCCGAAAGAGTTGCAAACTGAGAGGGTTCGTGGAGATATGTTGGGCGGTGTGGATTGTGGCAGGGTAAGCTTAGGCGGGAAAGAGCGGGTATTCATGCACACTAGTCGGGTGGTTTAAGGTCTTCATCGGAGCTGTTGAAATAGCTGAAATACTTACAAGTCGAGAGGGTACGCGATGTGGATTGCGGAAGGATCAGGTTAAAGCGCAGCAGTCGGTAGTCATAAGGGTCGTGATAAATGTTCCGAAACGGAGCCGACGAGGAAGGTGGCATGGATTGTGAAAAGGTACTTTGATCTTGCTGGCTTTCGTTCCCCCCTTCTCAGGGAGTATGTTTCTATTCGGGATACTACATGGAATCTAGATAGATAGATAGATAGATAGATAGATAGACAGACAGACAGACAGACAGATAGATAGATAGATATCATATACATATAGCTATAAGTAGGTATATATATATATATTTATATGTGTGTGAATGTGTGTGTGTGTGTTCTATTTATCCATCGATCCATCCATTGTTTGCATTGTATGTATTTATGATTTATGTTTTTTTAAAACATTATATGTTTTCACTATATATATATGCTAATGTTCGTAGATGCATAGGAACATGTATTTGCCGTTGTATCGCGCACACAAACACCCACACCCACATCCACATCCACACCCACACGCACACGCACGCGCATGCGCACACGCACACGCACGCGCACGCGCACGCGCACGCGCACACACACAAACACACACACAAACAAACACACACACACAAACAAACAAACACACACACACACACTGTGGGATATGTAGATTCGATCGTAGTGAGGAGAAGTAAAAGAACACCAGTTCCTGAATAAAGGGCCTGAAACGGATCATAGGACATGAGGCATGAATTATGAAATATGAAAAATGGATTCCGGTTCTCAGCTTAGCCGGATGCTATATCGAAGTTACTTAGTCCCCGGTTCTCAGCTTAGCCGGTCGCTATCCTCTGATGCAGGTACGCTGGGTTGATCAGACCCATTATCCCATGATTGTGGTAGCTTCGTTGAGTGCGGTCTCACAATCATGCCGCACTCCCCTGCCAAATCAATATTTAGACTGCATGTTATTTGCAGTGTACACACACACACATGGCCTCTCAATATGAGAGGCAAATCAGTAAGAAGCACAGTAAAACTCTTTTTATCGACACCACTGCATCAAAGATTGTACGGGTTGGTCCTTCCAAAGACTACGAAGAAAACGATGGATTAAATATATATATATATATATATATATTCGCATCAGTGAAAAATTCAGGAATTCGTTGATACATAAGGCCCAGAAAATCCTGAACCTGGTCCAACTGAATTTTGGCTGGAAAAACATGAAAACGAATGAGGCGCAGACGAGCACAAAGTCCACTCAGGATAGCACGAGAAGCACTAGCACTTTGCATAGATCGTAAAGGTTTGTTTCAAGGTAATTCCAAAGTGATAGTCTGTTGCAAGGTATCAAGGTGGAAACCTAATGCCTCCTGTCCAGCAACCACTTCCAACAAAATGGGAGCAGAATAAAATTGTAAATTCCAGAAAACCTGAATATGTGATAGCTTTCGACTATGGCGAGAAATCAACAAAACACGATTGTCAACGTATCGATGATGTAGAGAACGATCCCAAGTAAATGGAGAAAATGACATTGCGAAGTTCCATTCTCGTTGAAGTGCAACTGCAGAGCATAGAACGGGTGCAAACTGGGCTCCCATACTGGCACCCCGACGTTGTCGAAATACTTGGCTCCCGACCGTGAAATACGAATGATCCAACAAATATTGCACCAAGCTAGGAATATCACGCAAAGTAATAGTCATATATTGTTTCGTTTTTTCTCTCCAAGATCCTTGAAAAAAACACGAAGAATCCGTTCCAAACGAACAACATGTCTAATCCTTGTTCACACTGAGAAGCAAAGGTGAATACAGCGAACTGTATGGCCAACAAAATACGATCATGTTCAACTTGATTGTAAAAACCAGCGATATCTGTTTGACGCAGGGAAAAGGCAGTTTCTGCAAAATCCTCCATAGAAAACAACGCACTGATACCAGTAATGACATCTTGAACATGTGCAAATTCCAAAATTCGATCCAAAAACCGCATTGAGGATGCAACTCGAATGCATCAAGTGATCTACGGAACGACACTGAAACAGCCGTCGGAGAAAATTATTTAAATCTTGGGACTTCTTGGTTGTAAACAGATCAGGAAGTCAAGAATGCGTCAAGCCTAACAAATCTTGATTGTCCACATATCGATGATGCAACGAACGATCCCGAGTGAAGGGTGAAAAAGAGAGATGATAGTTCCATTCACGTTGTAAAGCCACGGCTGAACAAAGTACAGGTGCAAACTGAGATCCCATACTGGCTCCCCGACATTGTCGAAATACTTGGCTCCCGACCGTAAAATAGGAATTATCCAGCAAGTATTGAACAATAGCAGGAATGTGTCAATGTAACAGAAAAGTATTGTTTTGAGATAACGTTCCAACTTGTGAATGTGAGCCTGCAGGACAGTGTCTAAACCTTGTTCGGTTTTCTGTGCATACGTGTACACGACAAACACAATGACATCAAAATTCCGGAAAGTTGTACTTGATTATAAAAACCAGCAATGTCTGCTTGATGCAAGCAATGCGCAGACTCCGCGAAGGACTCCATAGTAAACAATCGACGAATTCCTTCAATAACAGCTCGTACATCCGGAAATTCCAAAATGGACCGAAAGACAGTGTTCAAAATTTCGATCAGAAGAGTAGAAATCGCACTGCCCAATTTCCTAGCCCATGCTGTTGAATAATGCACAATTGGTCGAGCTTTTGCAAAATCACGGGTAGGTTTAGGCAAAATATATATCCTTTGCTCAATGTCGAATTGTGAAAACCTAATCCCCAGGAATAAGTTTGTTGAAGAGCGGGGATGACTGGAGGTTCCACACGTGTTGAAGGCGAAGGTGTAGCCTTGTCCCGAGCCAAAGTTGCCGCTGCTGCCTTGGTAGAATCGTCCCGAGTGGTTCCTGTGTAAGAGGCAGCACAGACATCTTTTTTTATCATAGCATGAATTGTTACATCTGGCAAGAATCTACGAAATGAAAGTAGCCACTCCATGAATGGTCGAAAGGTGAGATCGAAATGCCCAACGAGAATCTGATCCATGCACAACATCAAAGAAATAGCCCAACAATTGATCAGCATAAACTCCACCCTGTGACGTCCGAATGTGTGCTTGACGTGCAAAAGCACGACCAACAATACAAACAGGCCGAGCAGTATTGAGGCCGCCAAATTTCTTGGCTTGTTCCAAAATTTTCAGCACATGTTTCCTAGAAAAGGAAGAATCATCATTGAACAGTACTCCCCGAGAGTAGAAGGTATTGGGAGTCAGCCAGTCTGGGCTCCGTACATCGCATGATGATGGTCGAACGACCCCTTCTCGCACAGCTAAGGCCATTCCCAATACTGATGTATTATGGCCAAATCCAAAGTACTGAAAAATATCAAAATTGTCCGCACGCCACTGCGGGAGTGCCAAGTGCGCATAGATCGCAATAGGCTGTTGCTGGGAGTTGAAAATGATCTCAAATTTCTCAACCAATGAAACGTTGTTGCTGTAACGTCCCAAAGCAGTAACCAGAAAGCGGAGAGATGTCAAAACAGAATCACGCAAAACAGGGTTACGTAGTTGTGCAGAAAATCGATGCTTCAAGTCAGTCGAAATGTAATCATGCCAAAATTGAGTGTGATTCACTGCATCTTCATGAGTAATGTAACCACGGGAGGAGTTAAAATGGTCAGCATTAGGTATCCATTGTTGACATCTCGTATCTTCGATCAGCATTCCATCTTCAAAGGCATTCTTCACGCAAATGGATTATCAGCAATTGATTTGTGAATACGAAGCATCTGTTGATAAAGAAAAAGAATGTCGATCGTCTTGAACAAATCGTTTGCACCCACTAAAAAATTCAGATGAAAATGTCGCCACGGGAAGAGCGACCCAAAATTGAAATCCTTGTGTCTTCAATTGAGGGTGGACCATTTCTTTGACTTCATGACTGGTCTGAAAAGGATCATCAGTCTGAGTCCGTCCAATGGTAAAACAGATAGTCTCATTGCGGACTGGTGGTGCCACTCGCTCACTAACTGAAGACCAAATTCGTTCAGGAGTATTACTTGTTCCAGATTGCTTCACATGATGGTAAAGACCATAGCACGGAACCTGAACTGAGCTTGTAGCACTTTGTAGCTCATGAAGAGGATCTGGTTGGAGATCAAGACGACGACGTTTGGGTTCCGGACCACTTGGAGTAAGCACGGAAGGTCCCGGACCAGCTGGTAGAACAGCAGACTGCACCAAAGGTCCCGGACTACTTCCAGGTAGTCCATGAGAAGGATCACACAAGGTCCCCGACGATCCCAATGCTGATTGGACAAATGTGAGCGGCTGAGTAAACAAATTTCCCACACCAGGTACTAAAGAAGACATGGAAGACATGAATGCATTGCATTGAAAAGCCAATGGTAACATCATTTGTTGCATAGAATGCAACTGTTGAGTCTGAATTTGTTGCATCTCAATGATGTGTCTTTGCATCGTTGCCATTCGTTCCAATGAACGAGCATGCTCTTGTTGGGTACGCAACATTGAAGACATAGAAGATTCAGTCATACGTAAATTGTTCAACTGCTGCGAAACACTATTGGGGATCACTCCCGGAGGAACCGGCAAATTCGGGGGAGGTCCCGATGATTTTACAAAAGTTCGAAGATCCATGGCTCGAAACTACGGCTCTAAGGTTAAATGTAGAATTAGATCATACCATAAGAGCACACAAAACTGAGGATATGACCACATGTACTGGAAGAAGTGCGCATTCAAAGTACTTCGTCATACGACAACTTCTCCCCTGTGGGTACTTCGCCAATTGGGCAAAACTTCGCCTTATGGCTGTCAATATGTGTTGGACGAACTTCAATGTCCACCTTGACATTGTCTACTTCTTTTGCATGTAATATGCAAAGGGAACTTCAGGATGTTGGCAACATCCCACTCTGCAGCCGGGAAAATGCCCGGTCATAACTTTCATATCCGTCGAAACGGACAGACGGTACTACCAAGTGAGGTAGAGTACCCGAAACACACTGTGGGATATGTAGATTCGATCGTAGTGAGGAGAAGTAAAAGAACACCAGTTCCTGAATAAAGGGCCTGAAACGGATCATAGGACATGAGGCATGAATTATGAAATATGAAAAATGGATTCCGGTTCTCAGCTTAGCCGGATGCTATATCGAAGTTACTTAGTTCCCGGTTCCCCCGGTTCTCAGCTTAGCCGGTCGCTATCCTCTGATGCAGGTACGCTGGGTTGATCAGACCCAGTATCCCATGATTGTGGTAGCTTCGTTGAGTGCGGTCCCACAATCATGCCGCACTCCCCTGCCAAATCAATATTTAGACTGCATGTTATTAGCAGTGTACACACACACACACGTACCCACGTGAGACTCACTCAATCTTTTGTGGGGTTGATTCTGTGGGACAAGGTTTGCTGTGCCACTCCTTCCATTTCCGCCCCAGTGTGATCCGTTTTTCTTGCATGCCAATTTACCATCATCCAGCTACATAAACCAGAATGGTGGACTGATGTGCATTGACCCTTGGTGGCTGCTTATGGTGGTCACATGGATCAAAATCTTGCCATGTGAGCCACTTAAAGAAGTTGTTTCTTTTGTTTTCATTTCCTGCTATCACCAAAGTGGTACTAGTAACAAGGGGAAACTACACACTTTGGATGCCAACACTGGCAGGAGGCTGCCCGATACACCAGAGTAGGGCATGTCATGCAATAGATGCATTTGTCAGCAGCGAAAAAATATTTTGGTCAGCGTTGCTGTGGTGGCACATCAGGAGGCCGACTATGGTCTTCTGGACCAAGACTTCGGCAACAAAACTAGCAGGACCCCGAGGAACAATTGTAGAATCAAATCTGATGATGTTTAGTTTGTAATGTTTATACATCGCACTTTGACTGTTGTTTTCGTACAGGTATTGTTGAGTGAAGTGGACGACGACGTTCTTTTCCCCCAAAAAGTCGGGAACCCTCTCCCGGAGGTCACGGTTAAACCCCCATCACGCGCCATAGGAACATGTTTTTTGATCATTTTGAGCCAATGGTGGCTGATGGTGGCTGCTTTGACTGAGGCAAAATTTGGAACAATCGCACATCCATCTTTTGTGGCTTGGCATGGCTCGACCGTTTTCATGGGGAGGTTAACAGGAAATCCACCGGATCTTTGCTTGCACATCGGGTCAAAAATGGGTATATATGTTTGAAAATAGGGGACGCCAATACATAGTAATTTTAATGGGTAAAATAATGATAATCTATTGGAATTGGGGTACCCAATTTTCAGACAAACCCAAATGGTATTCTCATGCACATGAGCGCAGCACTATGCAGTAACAAATACAAACTTCAGACTGTCAAACTCAACCCAGTAGTGTGCTACCAATTAAGTTGGACAATTTGGGCGCGGGATAGTAAAAATTTGGAGATCTTGGTCGGGCTTTCTGAGAGTTGCCTATTTTGTGAGGCTTCATGGTGGTGCAGCAAGGATCCATGGAAGTCAGATTGGCGCAATTTCAGTTCCTCGGGCGCACTTGACACAGCCCTGTGATCCAATGGACATGACATGGAGAAAAACGAGTTGGATGCTTTCCCAACTTTCCTGCTAACAACTTTCGGTTGGAACATAAGAACCCCAAGTTACAAGGAACACCTATGTAAGATATGTAAGTTTCCATCCAGTATTCACCCACAGGGTAGCAAGGCGTGCTGCATCGCGAAGGTTCAAAAAGAAATGTGGCATTTTCGAGTGCAACCATTACGCGGTGTATTCAGATGCACCCGAAGCACCTTGGCGGAACAAGCCCCAGGAGCTGCCGTTGCCCCCAACACAGTTTGAACTTGCAGGGCTGGGCTTGACTTTTTGGCAGGGGCTGGATTTTCAGGATCTTTCAGGTGCCAGTTGGAACAGCCCTAGGACCCCGAAAGTTTCGCCAACTGCTCAGGCAATATCTCTGGGATTGAACTCAGATGGCCGCCTGGAGAACGCAGCCGGGTGTGCTTCAGATTTAAGTGTTCATCATTTTTCATGGGAGGCCCCCAATTGTGACACAGCTTGGGAACTGTTTTCCTTTGCCTAGTGACCTAGTGACGCCGTGTCAGCGCGTCGGCCTGTGGGGCCCGTGGCAGACAATTGCAGGTACACATTGGCAAAGGGAAGGCATGGAATTCACAAAGAACGGCAAATTTTCTCTGAACTTCACATTTGACCAAGCTATACCAGTACCACAAAGTGGGTTCCGGAGCACACTTTCTTGGACCGCTTAAAAGGCGAAGAAGTGTAAAATCATGCGTATGTCCAAATGCACATATATAATCATATATACGGTGCACACACACACATATACATATATATATACACGTATATAGTCTATTCACATACGCATATGCATATGGCATATGCATGCAACATTTAATTTGTGTTTGCCCTGAAGTACCAAGGAACTGAAGAGAAGACCATTCCAATTCCAGGTGCTTTGCTTGACATGCGGGGACAGGCATCAATCAATTTCACAGAACTACAGTTGATCATGACTCATGACTCATGATATAAGGATTATAAGGATGTCTATAAGCATATAGACACACATAGACACACACACACACATATATATATATATATACATATAATATATAACACGCATACATACATACATACATACGTACATACATACATACATACATACATACATACGTACATACGTATACATACGTACATACGTACATAAGTACATACGTACATACGTACCAACCAACCTACCTACCTACCTACCTATCTACCTACCTACCTACCTACCTACCTACGCACGCACGCACGCTTCGACGCACGCACGCACCGACGCACCGACGGACCGACGGACTACCGGACCGACGCACCGACGGACCGACGGACTGACGGACCGGCGGACGGACGGACGGACAGACAGATACATCCATGCATGCATACAGACAGACAGACATAAATACACATAGATACACATAGACACACATAGATACACATGGATACACATAGATAGATACACATAGATAGATACACATAGATAGATACACATAGACACACACACAGATACACATAGATACACATAGATACACATAGATACACATAGATACACATAGATACACATAGATACACATAGATACACACAGACACACATAGACACACATAGGTACACATAGACACACATAGGTACACATAGATACACATAGATACACATAGATACACATAGATACACATAGATGCACATAGATACACATAGATACACATACATACACATAGAATACATACATACATGCATGCATACATACATACATAGATACATACATAGATACATACATACATGTATACATGCATGCATGCATACATACACGCATCCATCCATCCATCCATCCCTCCATCCATCCACCCATCCTTCCATCCATCCATCCATCCTACCTACGTACATACGTACACGTATACGTACATACGTACATACGTACATACGTACATACAAACACACATACGTACGTACGTACATACATACATACATACACATACACATACACATACACATACACATACACATACACATACACATACACACATACACATACACATACACACATACATACATACATACATACATACATGTATCATACATACATACATACATACATACATACATACATACATACATACATACATACATACATACATACATACATACATACATACATACATACATACACACATACATACTACATACATACATACATACATACATACATACATACATACATACATACATACATACATACATACATACATACATACATACATACATACATACACATGCATTAGGCGCAGACATATGCACAACACACATAATATATATATACATATATATATATACATATATATATATTGTTTCTTTATTATTTATTTATTTTTATATATATATATACATAAATATTTACATATTTATATTACATTACATAATATACACAGTCTTGGGGGAAACTACCTTTGTCAATGTCGGCCATCGGAGGTCCTCCTGCCTTGAAGGGGTTGCAAAGTTGCCTCGGGTGCCATTCGCAGAAGACGTACATCATGAACGTCCCTCATTTGCATCACATGACATGAGGATCGCATAACGACCTGGATGGCACGGGAATACACAGAACAGGTTGAGGCTATGGCTGGATGTTTTCGCATCGTGTTGTCATATCCAAATCAGCTTCTGAAAGGTGCCCTTCAAAACCCCCAAAACGACCAATTTTCTTGAGACATGCGACTGCACCGGTCGTTGTGACTCATCCCCAAGGCAAATGTCTTGATGCGAGCGTGGGACAAGGCGGCCAAGGATGGAATTGCAGGAAACTTTGGCATCAAGCTGTTGGATGGGTTGAAGGTGGAGGGTTTCTGTTCAGGGCCTAAGGGATCTAACTTTGTTGAGCAAGATCATCCCTCAGAACTCTTTCGAGTTGAACCCGGTTTCAATGTTTCCATTTCCATGGGTTCACTATGATGTGCATTGACGTGCATTCTTGTGGTAGTGTTTTTTGCCACTATTATCATCCATTATCCATTATCAGAGTCAGTTTTGTGAGACTTCGTGGTGTAGCCTGGGCGCATGTGAGTCCATAATCTGCAACACTTGGTGCCAATCTCTCTGAGCCACCTTTGGCTCAGCCGTGTTCCTGAATTGCCCTATGGGAAGCGGTTCCTCGACGCGCAGCAAGGCTGGCCCAGTCTCTTTCCTGCATGGGATTTGCTGAGGGAACTTCCGCCGCAAATGGTGAGGGTTCTGCTCTTATGGCTTATTATGGTTTATCAATGGCGCTTAACTACTACTTGCTTGCTTGCTTGCTTGCTTACTTACGTACTTACTTACTTTACTTTACTTTACTTTACTTTACTTTACTTTACTTTACTTTACTTTACTTTACTTACGTACTTACTTTACTTGACTTCACTTTACTTTACTTTACTTACGTACGTACGTACTTACTTACTGACTTACTTACTGACTTACTTACTTACTTACTTCCTTACTTCCTTACTTACTTACTTACTTCCTTACTTCCTTACTTCCTTACTTCCTTACTTCCTTACTTCCTGACTTCCTTACTTACTTCCTTCCTTCCTTCTTCCTTTCTTCCTTCCTTCCTTCCTTACTTACTTACGCACTTTACTTCCTTACTTACTTACGCACTTTACTTCCTTACTTACTTACTTACTTACTTACCTACTTACCTACCTACCTACCTACCTACTTACTTACTTACTTACTTAGCTTCACACTGCCTTGATGTCCTTCATACGTTGGTTTCATTGCCCTGTGCTGATGACATTTTGCTTCCCGCCACATCAGAGGTGGCAGAGGCAGAGGTGAAAGAGGTTGCAGAGGCTGAGGCTGCAGAGGTGGTGCCAGCTGAGATGAAGAAGAAGGGTGGACACATGAAAAAGCAGGAGGCAGGAGCGCGAATGGCCGCAGCACACCACGAACGCATGGAGAATTTCACCTTGTCACTGGGCGGCATTTTTAAGAGCGTTTTGTAACTTTATTTATTAGATGTATTTAGAAGGAAAACTCCCAAAGCTTACCACTGCCATCCCGGGTTTGGGGGGCAGGTTTGCAAGATGCATGTTTCCAAGGCCCACCGGTGCGTGCCAGCCGTATGAAGGTGATGATGAACACTGCATGGATTGCTTCCAGATGGCGACTTGCAACATAGACGGACTGATCAATTTTGTTGATTGATGACCGATCACCTTCAGCTAAATTCAATCCACTTCGCTTCCAGAGAAGTCGGTATTGATGGCCAAGAATCTTCAGAAGGATTTGGA